ATGTACAAATATACTTAATAGCTATAAAACATAGTAAGAGACTAATACATAATTACATTAATTTCAGATGGTCTATGATTAATTGATGAGTCTCATTACTAATTTGTAAAATTATAAAAATAAAACAAATAAGTCTATTTTAAATAGTCGTTGCATCACGTTTTACTGTAATAATTGAGTTATGAATCAAACGTATATTTTTCCGCGTAATATCATAAATTCAAGAAGAAAAAAATTGTTTGTTATTGCAATATTATTTTACTAATGTAAATTTTGAATTTTTTTATAAGTGGCAAATCTGAGCTCTAACCTTCTGCTTGTTTGGAAACCTGCAATGAGTTACAATATCTTTACAATTTACATACATATTATTTTGTTTGGTTTTTTTTCAGTCAAAATGGTTGCACAAAAAATGTGGTCTTTGATATTGATTGGCCTCTTATTCTCATCTTCTGCCAATGCTGGTCCGATTGSAGCGGGTATTTGCTATGCTGGATGTGCTGCCGTGACAGTTGCATGCTTTGGAGCAGCAGGGTTCACATTTGGCACAGTTCCTGGAGCAGTGATTGCTGCCACACCAGCTTTAGCTGCTTGCAATGCAGCATTTGGGATATGTGAAGCTAGTTGTGTAGCAGCTTTAGTCGTACCTACACCTTAGACCTGTGTCTTCTTTTTAACAGCTCGTGTAATTGATTTTAATTTTTTAAATGTACAATTTTTTTTATTTTCACAAACCAAAGTTTTGCATTAAACTACTAGTAAAGCATCAAACATAAAAATCAACTAAAATAAATAATTTTTAAATAATGAATATCAAGTTTCATGAATAAATTGCTTTGATTATCTACAAGATTATATATTGTTTTTTTTTTATCATTAACCATTTTGATAGAGCTGGATATATTTTTATAAAACATGTTTTTCTAATATAGCCATTGTTTTTTTAAGGTTCAAATAAAATTAATACAGAGTTAGAATTTAGAAGTATCACTAATGTTGATATTAAATGACATCTAATACTGGATTTAGATGCTATTAAATATCGGAGTAGCGGTGCATTGAAATACTGTTGTGGCTATTTTAGTGTTCATAATTTGCTATGATTTTTGTATTTGTTTGTTTTTGTTTGCTTAAACTTAACATAATAGTTTATGTACTTTGTAGTCATTTATGAATGTTATTTTGGTATAGTTCAATACCTATTTATGTATTCAACGAGATAGTTTCTATCAAACTAGAAACGGGAATATTTACTTTAAGTAAATAGTTAATAGGTACATAAGATTTTATAAATAATTCTAATACTTTTAAGAGTGAAATACTTTTAGGGGGTAATCAAACAGATGTTGATACTATTTACTGCTACAAGTGAGATGCTGATGCATTTGCCAAGTAGGTAAAAGGATTTTCAGCGGAAATAGAACAACAATGTTTTATGCATCATTTTATTCTTTTGATTTTGCAAAATATTCAATAAAAGTTGTTTTTAATGATAACCTAACTAGTCCCCATGGCAACTGTAGTCATGATTATAAATTTTGGTATATACTAACAAAAAGCTACTATAATGGTTACCACTATCAGATATACAAATTGATCATCAAATTTTAATTATTAAAAAGATGTCTTATYATTGAAATTCTATTTTTACTACTTTAGGATGGAGAGGATCATCTTTTGAACATTTTGCAACCATTGGACAAGAGGGCTAGTACTTAATATGGACTTATTAAATAATTTTCAAACTATAAATAGACTTTATTWAAGTAACTTCATTACCTATTAAATAAAAAAATGTTGACATGAAAAAAARTATCAATAATTCTTTATTACCTTAAATGTTCATAATTCTTATTTACAGTTCCAGAAAATTTAAAACAACAAAATATTGAATTAATTACAATAAAAATAATCTATTATAATAATTAAGAAAAATAATCACATTAATAGCACCAGAATATTATATATATATGTGAATATAAATAGTAAATCATAAACAATTCCAAATTAACTTTTTGTTAAACATTTTGAATACCAAAAAACTCGATAAAATATTTAATACAATAATTGATTCAATCTTAATATTTAAAATATAAAATAAATTGTCTAATTACAGTGATATCACAGTAAAACAAATACTTGCAGGTCATATGTAAATATAATTATTATAAGAAAATACCATAGGTAGGTTGAAACGTACAATTATTACGCTTTTTTGTGGTATTTTAAATATACATTATGGAGTATAGAGATTGCCTTTATTGGTATGATCTTTGATTAGGTATTAAAACTTCACTGCCCAATACAAATAAATATAAATTTTTTTGTTTATTTTTATAATACTACAAAAATCATATTGAATAATTCTTATTAACATCATGATGGATATAAATATATAGAATTCGACTAGTATGAATTCCAAGAATGGCAAGATTAATTTAAACAACAATTCAGACTTTAAGGATTACAAACATTGTAAATTTTAATGAGATCATTGATAATCAACTAAATTGTGAATAACTGATTTATTAACCATTATTTAAATATTGTGATTGCATCATGATGTATAACAAATAATATACATAAATACATACTAAACAAAAATATTTAAAATAATAGTACACAGTATGCACAATTCAACTTAACAATATGTTTACATTGATGAGAATTTATATTGTATTGAAAAATGTTTGTGAACATTGATATACAATTGTTTAAGTTGGTCATACAAAATGTTGTAATATTACCTACATTAACATCAAAGTGTAAGTACAACATTACTGATTAAGTATAGTTATGTTTAATACATAAAATACCTTATTAAAATAATTTCAATAATCTAATAAATTAATGGTCACTGGAGGTGCAATATTATCAACTCCATATTCAGATAACAACAATGCTGCCATCCATCTTAAATGATCTTCTTTAGTAGTACCGGCAATTGACCAACCAAAATTATCTTTTGATCTAAACAAAAATGATTTATTAATTTGAAATAAATTATACATTCTAGCTATCTTTAACTTACTCTTTAGGTAGATCATTCTTCAAAATAAATGTTATACACCATCTAAACAAAAAGAAGATAAAATATTAAAAAAAGAGTATAAGTGGGTGAAGTTCTGTTATACAGCTAGTAGGTTACAAGTGGACCACTGTTAAATTTTAATTCAATGATATGATATAATCGTATACAAAAGACCTTTTGGAGTGAAGATGGTTTGTTGGCCTAAGATATTTTAGATTGTAATTACTACTACTGTAGCCGGCAGATAGGTTAAATTACTATTATTTAGTCATATATATGTATATATATATATAATATACTTTAAGTTTCATATACAATATACCCACAAATTATATTTTTAATTTACAATATAACTAAAATAGTTATTTTTGGTTATTTAATAAGTAATTTTGTTCAAATTTTAACTTAAAATAGTTTTAAAAAAACTATATTTATACATTATTTAAACTTTTTGGTTACAGAATTAACTACTTACATGCTAACTTGATTTAAAATTTTAATCCTTAGCTATAAAATTTGAAAATCTTATAAATTTATAAATACAAAATAACTTGTAAATTTTGTCAATATTTCAACTTTTAGTTCCTAAAAATAAAATAATACCTTTGTATTTTAAATATTTTTTAACTACTGTAATAATATATCAGGAGCTTTGTATATCATTTTCAAGCTTTTTGACCCAACAAATAAAATTTTATTAATATTTACAAAACAAAAAAAACCTAAAAAATTTGAAAATGTCAGTTAACAGTTCAAAATAAATCAAAATTTTCAGAATTAAGGCAAGTATAGGAAATTATAATATAAACATTTAGTGTACACTTAAAGCATTTACTGTTATTYGTTTTTGAATTATAATGAAATAGGAAAATCGTTCTATGTGAATATTCAATGTTATAAAAATTTGAACTTCAAACACTCATTAAAATTGAATTAGACTTTCCAGTAAACATTTTATGGAACTTGTGTAGTACAATACCTATAACTACTTCATTGGTGTAGTACTGTAGTATGCCATCTACCAACAAAACTTACGAGTGTTTACTGAACTTTACCAACTCATTAATGATTTATAACAATTTATCTAAATATCTAATGTATTGCTGATGATTATCAAGTGTTATAATACGTCATAAATCATTATTCCAGAAACTTCAAATTAATTGTTGTGTTGAGTTTTAGTTGACTGCCACCATTCCTATTTTAGTAGGTGGTCTAACAAATCCATTGCCTTACACATTTCGGTGGAAGGATACAATATAGACCAAAATAATATAAGATCTAAAATTTAGTTATCATGTATCTTGGTGGATATATTTTAAAATTTATCACAATGACTAAATAGCATAGGACATATAATAATAGAAAACAATTAACTAGTACTACCAGGTGTTTCACTATTTTAATATGTTGTAAGTCTTAATATTACTCAAGTCACAGGTACTTACCATTACAAAAATGAAATAAAAATATAACATAATAAACAAGAACAAGTATGACATATAAGTATATAATATTTTCCGATAGATAGCATACTACAATTATGTAGGCCATAGGGTTTTACTAGGTAGTATAACACATAAAAAAACTAATAATAATCAAAAATTTCAATATTGAAAATTATATGGTATATAGAAAATGCTGTATAAACATTTAGTGAAAATCTCAAACATCTATGGTACCTAATTTATTTTAGAGTTGAACCCAAAACCAAAATCAACTATGTCAAAATCCGGTGTTTGAAAATTCCCATTTTTCCTTAACTATTTGGAGCATATTTAGACTACTTATTGTCTATACGGACACAAATGAAAAAATAAAACACATGTCATTGTAAAATCAAAACATTCATCGCTCTACTCAGAATTTAAAATTATAAATTAACATTGGATAGGTTATCATTAAGGTAATCAATAAAACATTGAAGATAATAATGTATAGTTCAAACAATAGTAAAACCCTGACATAAGTGTTCTATTTTTAAAACAGTAGTGGATTTATTAGATTAAAATGGATGGGGTTTAGTAAGTTCCCACACGAAACATAGCAGGTAAGTGGGTACATATGTAAGTTCCCTGTATTCCCACACAAAAAAAAATTCACCTGTATGTAAATTCCCACACAAAAATTAAATAAATTTAGACTTAGGACTGACAACTTAAACATAGTTAAAATTTAATTGTTTTTGTATAAGTAAAGTCTTTAGTAAAGTCTAATCAATTTTTTGAATCTTGTCAAAATATATAATAAAAATTAATTATATAATGTTTAGGTATATGGTACAGATATTATTTGTACTTTTCCAAGCGTTTATACTTTTATAGTAAGACTTGTATCAGAACTAACTATATATGTAAAGTATTTGAGCTTTTGCAATAAGCCAAATAAAATTTAATTTTTTTCTAGTACTATTATCATTGATTTTAGAAACAATGCTATTATTACAACTTTTATTATTTTATACCTATAGGTATACAAATAATATGTGGACCATACCTACACATTATAATATAATTAATTTTCATTATATATTTGTACTATATAGATTCAATTAAAAAATTGATTGAACTTTTTATATGCAACACAAAATCAAACAAATTTTAACCACACCAACTACGTTTAAGTAGTCCTGTGTGACTAAAGTAGGAAAGAAGTTTGTATTTGGTATAATTTTTTTTCGTGTGGGAACTTACATTCGCCCAAAAAGATACTGGTCTATAGAAAATTAATACACACATATTCATATTTACCTAGTATGTGGATTTCTTTTAGGTTCAAACCCAATATACCATATTAGATCCTTAACAAACCATTCATATAGTGA